ACTCTAAGAGAATAAATCCTATTATCCAATATCAAGTCAGGTACTTGTAGTATTTGTTGTAGCAGCAAATGGAAACTGATACAGTGTTCTTTCATTTCCCATCTTTATAAAAGGGCAAGCTCAATGAGATTGAGTAACTTGTTCAAGGCCACACAAATAATAAGAGATGGACCACGAATTTGGCCAAACACTGTCATAATCAGGACCTCTGCTTTTCCCACGTTCTGCTTCCCAGATACACCTTTGACCATATCAAAGACTCTGTGTGAATCTGGTGGGTTATCTGGAGCCACAGTGCAGATGGGACACCCTTTCAGTATCCTTCCTGTCATCAACTGTGTAGAAATGCACGCAGCCCCCAAGGCTGCAGCAGCTGGCCCTTCCCAGCTAGCGCTAGCTTCAGGATCATTTAGGTGCCCGCTTATTTCAGGATGGAGAAGTGGGTCTGATTTATTGTGGAGCACTCCCCAATTTCATGCCAAAATGATTCAATTACAGTCACCCTAGGCACTCAAGAGAGGCTTCCTGCTGGCTCACAAAGATGAGGCCAGGCGTGGCCTGGAGCATGTAAGGAAATTTCACCTTATTATTTATTGGAGAGAATGAGCACTTCTCTCACTTTGGAGTAGGTTAGTTAATCATAATATATGGGAGAAGGAGGAAAATGCTTCCTGTGTCCAAAGCAAATTCAGGCTTTAATGAGGAAATAGGGCAATGTGTTGACTGTGTTTTCCCTGGCTGCCTTGTGCCTCTCAGCTCAGGGTTACGCCTGCACTGCTGAAGGAATACAAGTTGACTGGTTTGCTACTAGCATCAAACTTCTGGTTTCTATGGAGTAAGCATGCCCTTCGTGCCAGGCACTGTGCTAGACAACTTACAAGTCACCCTTAAGCTGAGCATGAAAGGCAAACATCACTAGGCTCACCTCACAAGTCTGTTGGCTAAGAGGCTCAGATAAATGAGAGAAACAAATGCATCTCATGACCTAGGATCTAAAGCGAGGATTTTTCTCACCTTGGAGATTTTATTCCTTTCAGAAGTGGGATCAGGTCTATTTTTCTTTCTTTTCCCTCTTTCCCCGTCAAGGTGTTGAGGATTAAATCCAGAACCTTGCACATGCTTAGTAAGCCCTCTACCACTGAGCTCTGATTTCAGATCATGCTTTTTTTTTTTTTTTTTTTAAAAAAAATTAGTTTTTGAGAAAAAGTCTTAATATATATCCCAGATTCCCCTCAAACTTGTGATCCTCCTGCCTCTGCCTCTCTGGTGCTCAGATGACAAAGGCATCCCACCATACTTGACAATACCATGTGTGTCAGTTAATATTGACTGTCAGCTTGATAAGACTTAGAAGCACTCAAGAGCCAAGACTTCCGTTATGTCTGTCTAGATTATCTGAGTTAGGTTTATTGAAGTGGAAAGATCCATCCTGAGTGTAAGTGGCCCTAGCTCATGGACAGGGTTCTTGGGCTGCACAAGGGTGAGAACACTAGCTCTAACATTTGTCTCTGTGTTCTAACTGTTGATGCAATTTAACCAGTCACCTCAACCCCCACAGTCATGATTTCCCCACCATAATGGACTGACTGTACTTCTCAAACTGGGAGCTAAATTAACTTCTCTCTTTCTTAGCTTACTTTTGTTGGTCATTTTAATCACAACACCGAGAAAAGTAATAGACCATATTTTTTTTATTTGAGTGCTTGATCGTCATACATCCTTTGAGTATCAACCTCCTTATGCGTTTTTTTCTTACTCCTTCTTTCTTATACAGGGTGCTTATTCCACACAGAGTCAAGCATGTATCATCACATAGTGTTATTATTGCCCATCCCTCTATGTGGTGGTTCCTTGAGAGCACAGAGTGCAGGATAGCACCAAGCAAATCCTCCGCAATTGTTTATTGGATATATAAATGAATGAATGGCATGCGTGCAAATATTGTCACTATAATGACTGTGAACTTTAGGTACCATTTGGGGACAGTGCTATCATTCACAAAGCATATCCAAATATCATTTTAACAATCTGTAGAACCTCAGGAAACGAAGAGTCAGAGTTCAAGGTCATTTCTTTTTTGTTGTTACCATTCCTTCACCCACACCCGAGAAACATCCGCAATGCTGTCTACTTCAGGTATTGGGAGTTTGGCAGGGCAGCGTGCTGCGTACACATCTGTGTGAGTCTCTGGGCACCTGTATGCTTGCTTGTTTTGTACTGTTGAATATGGACAGATGGAGGAGCCCCAAGCCATCACATCTAACATGTATGTGTCCTGGTGTCACCTCATCACTTCTTTTTCCTTCATATCAAATGGTGGGCTTAGTGTTTTTGATTTCACATTTGAAGGTTAAATGGGAAAAATGGAGAACGCTTGAAGGAAGCTACAAATGACGTATTATGATGAGTTTACTGGGGCAAACTATTGGTGTTAAGGAAAACTTTAAAAGATTTACCTTACTATATGCAAGAAAATTCAAAGTGGTTTCCTTAACTCTGACATTCACTGCACACAGTCACAGAAGGAATATATACAATGTGGCTTTGTTTCTGGGTAGTATTTGAACTTTAATTTCAAAACATGTCTATAATGAGTTCACCTATTCAATTATTCCTTTTCTTGCCCCAAACTGATTCCTCTAAGTCCGTTTGGTTGCAGGAAGATGAAGGGAACCAGGAGTAGTACCCTGTCCCAGGCTATGAGCCTCATGTACCTGGGGCAGTGTGTGGCTCATAGGACACTTTTGGTTAATATTTGATGACACATTGATGGGCCATCTTTCTTTCTTTCTCTCTCTCCTTTCTTTTGAGACAGGGTTTCTTTGTGTAACAGTCTTGGCTGTCCTGGAACTAACTCTGTAGACCAGGCTGGCCTTGAACTCACAGAGATCCGCCTGCCTCTGTCTCCTGAGTGCTGGGATTAAAGATGTGCACCACCACTTGGAAGAGCTTCTCTTATTTATCAAATGGGGGTAGGGAAAGGTACAGGTGGGAATGTGAAAAACTATAGAATATAAGCCCCAGGAAGTGGGTTCTGTGTGTATGGTTTGTGTACCACTCCTGACCCACCATGCCAGGTAAAACCATCCACATGCCATGCTCCATTGTAGGAGGCATGGAGGTCCTTGTGCTCACAACTAGAAGAACCAAGAATCCTAAACACACCTAAACAAACAGGTTGTCTCTTCAAAGGGTGAGCTGGATAACCCATCTGATGCTCAGAAGGCTAGGAATGGGCGTGGTTAATAGCCTGGTGACCTGCGTGTTATCTGTGTGGCCAGGTCATGCCAGCATCTTCCTCTAGACTCTTATCTTCAATTTGTTTGTCTTAGTCAATTTATTGCATTCTCCTCCCCCAGATCCTTATGAGCCTGTTTTCTCATTAATCTACAGAACCTATCTTTGTGGAAGATGCCACATGTACTTTATAAAGAGTTTCAATGTAGTCAGGTCTTAAGGTTTGTTGTGCACATGAGATTGAATTAATTGTCACCAGGAAAATTTTCCAGCAAATTATGCTGTGCTTAAATATATCTAAAACAAATTACTCAGAGTCAGACTCTCGAAGTTTGAACAGCACCAGGTACTGAATTATGTTGAAGAGAGCTGCCTTCTTGCCTCTCGTAGACTGACACTTGACTGGCTGGGTTGTTTTCAGAGACTCTCACATTCCACATTTTTTATATGCCCTAAACAGAATCCTCAGACCGCTCAAGAGTGTCCCAGACAGCCTTACACTCTTTGCTTTGCCCCTTTCCTCCCCCCCCTTATCTTCCTTCCTGCCCCAAGGTCCTTGACTTGACCACAATTCTCTTCCTATGCTTTTAATCATGGCCATAGTCTTTCCTGAAAGCCAAATGCCTGAATCTGAATCCCAGTCTCATTCACGTGTGACTTTATAGTCTTTAGCAAGCTCCATGACTTCTCTTCTCATCAGCTTCCTCATTTGTAAAATGAGGGCACGAGCTGTGTTTGTCAGAGGACCATGCGACGCGTATATAGATTAATAGAGTCTTTAGAGCAGACTAAACACTTCTTCGCCGCAGTTATGATTATGCATATGAGTGTGATCGTGCTGTCCTTGGGCTCTCAGGGGCTGTCAGGAAAAGGCAGGCAATCTCAGCCCAGAACAGATTCTTGCAATGTCCGTGACATTTGCAGTAGTGTGTTAACTTAGGCTATTTCCAGAAAGAAAGTTTTAACCTCTGTCACCCAGGAAGGTCACACCGAGGCCAGAGGGAGCAAACCATTTCTCCGCTGTTCCACCCAGCCACCCGTCAGTGTGCAATGCACACTTCCTGCTGGTAAGACCTTGTCTGTCTGTCCTCTGTTCATCCAGGAGTCCTTCAGTCTTTCCGGTTTCTCTCTTCTCCCGCTAGAGTTATGACTCCAGCCTGGAAGACTTCACAAAACATACTTTGGACATTCCATGTCTGTCTAATCTTTGGTGTAAAATCTCCATGCTACCCCAAGCCTGACTTTGCTACTCTTGTTAGCCTCTTACAAGAAAGCTTGGGAGGCTTCTGTCCTCAGTGCCTCTTCTTCTGCCTTTCCCAAGACCTTCACCCAGGAAAGAATGAGTGTGGGAAGAAGAGGCTGAGGGAGCCCCCACCTCCACCATGGAGGGCCTAGGATGATCAAGCTTAGTGGCAGTGGTGCGGCTGGTGTGATGTCAGTTGGAGCAAGCAAACAGCTTGGGATCCAGCTGCGCCCCAGAGCGTGATCTCCGACCATGCAGTCGGAGCCTGACTCTGCTGCTGAAAACCACCTGCTCTCATCAGCATGCAGACCCCGATGGAAAGAGGCACTAATTTACAGCAAAGGTGCCAAGTAGCAGACATGTGTCAATACGGGACTTTCAGCACGAGTGAGGAAATAAATCTCCTTTTGGAATTAATGTTGTGATTGACCGTGGAGCACGTAAACTTGCTATGCAATTGATTCCGAAGCAGTGCGGGAAATGACTAAGCGGGAGTGACTAAGAGGTACGGGTTGCATACCTGTACTTGCTGCCTTTTCTTCCTCATCTCCCCCCTGTTCTGCATTAGGTTTAACTCACATCTCTCATGCTGTGCTCAGGTCTGTTTCCGAACATTCTCATTACCATGGAGACAAAGAACAATGAGTCCGGACCTTCTAAATGTTTTGATAGTTGTTGTCTTATGATCACTCTGTCCCCAGACACATGTACCACCAATAACACTGTATTTCCATCACGACCCCTGCTCCCATCTCCTCTTGGGATTAAATCTGTGCGTGTTGGTGGGGTAGGGAACTTTAGGCCTTGGGACTCTGCCTCTGGCAAGAGGGTCTATACCGAGAAGAGAACACATCACCGAGTTTTAAGAGTCTGAGTGCTGTGGCTTTGAGGCTTGGTCTGATGTATTTACGGGTTGGCCTCTGTCACCCAGAGTACAGCATTATATCAGCCAGTGTGCTGAAGGTGCCCTCAGTGGTTTATGGCTATGATAATGGAGTTGTTATGGGCCCCGGTGAGCTGGAATTTATCAAGGCTCAGGTTCCTCTTTGAGTAGCTGGTGCAAATAGCAATAGGAATAGCGATGCTGCTGCTGCCGCCGCCGCCGCCGCCGCCGATGAAATAGCTTGCGCCTGCTTAACTTTTACTATGTGCCTGGCTCATATGCTAACACTCACCATCCATTATTTTGTTCTATTTATTCATCTTGTAAAATGGATATCATTTGATCACAAATTTATGGCTGGGTAAAAAAGGCAGATTGAGGTTTGATGGTGTCCTGGAGGCCATACATGTGGTGGAATTTGACCTGGAAACTCAAAAGATGGACAGTTAGAATCCAGAGCTCAAATTCTCCCAACTCTCCCGCAGCCACAGGAAGAAGAGAGCACTCTCCTTTCGACACTGACAAACCCGACACTCTGCAGTGGGTGCGCATGAGTGGCAGGACCTGTGCACATGGGTGTCCAAGGGCAGCTGCTCTGAGTTAACTATGCTAACTCAGAATAACTGGGTGCTATCCTGATGACCAGTCTGGATTCTGAGTCACCTTGGTCTTGGCCTGCCCAGTCATGTTGTTTACTCTATAATTTGGGTTTCTGGAGCTGTTTTGGAAGGGCAGGCTAAGGAGAAAAGACTTGAGGTCACTTCCCACGTCTTCCATCTTTCATCCCAGATGCGAATCTCAGTCTCTCTGTGAGGCTCTTCACATGCAGGCCGAATAGGTCCTTCCTTGGGGACCGTGATCCAGATCACAGGGACAGCTCTAATGCACACACCTCGTTGAGACTATAGAGCAAGCTGTGAGGGAAGAATGGGCTCAGATAGGGGAGGCAGGGAGCATGACTAATAAAAATAAGTCAAGGGACCCAGAGACTCAACGGTTCCCAAGCCAAGCTGCAGTCTAATTGGTGGATATTAATGCAGTGAAAGAACGAATGAGTCTTACAGCAGGGGAACGGGCTAAATGAATTATGGCAACTACTTATAACAGGCCACCATGCAACCATTAATTAATAAGAAAGAAGGGTATCTGGTTGCATGAAAAGCTGGTTGCTATGTATTATTTACTCTGGCTACCAATATGCACAATTTAATGACATTCTTATAAACGTATATAGATGGACACATGTATAGTATTTATTTATGTTGCTCACACACTGTTGTATATAGAAAACAACTTGAATGTCTATATTTCTAAGTGTTCAGTATGCTTAGCCTAAGATTGTGAATGATTTATATTTTTTTAAAACTGCATTTCCTTTTGAAATTTTCAGTAGTGAACATGAGTTTGGAATCAGATAAACATTTATTAAAGAAAAAATAACAAATTGTTTGAAAGGAGGCACGTAATACCAGTTCCAAGAAAAATGGAGAAGCCAGAGAGAGAGAATAGAAAATTGATATTTACTGCAGTGTTTTGGTCATTAAGATTTAAAATTGGAACCATGAGAATTCTGGCCTTGCTGTGTCTAGAGATGGATCATGATCTAGACCTCACTTTGGCTTCTTGGCTATAAGTTCATATTCCCTGGGATTTTAATTTGACCTTTATGTGTCTTGACGTTGGGAATACTCTAGTTATGTAAAGAACAATAGGCGCTCCTATTTTGGAACAACCTGGTCTTGGTGTAGGACGGGCCTCGTGGTGCTGCGAGTCAGCGGAAGGGCAAGCAGGTAGATTTAGCACTGAACAGAGTGCAATTTGTTGAAGTATTTCCTGGTGAAAGCTTGGTTTTGGGTAGCAGCTGGGTCAGTGATTTGGGTTGGAAAGTGGGGGAATGCTTAATCCTTAATGTTTGGTTGACTTTAAGCTAGCATCAAAGAATTAGAAACATACTCAGAGCCAGAGGCTATGTACTACTCTGTTTTATTTGTGGTTTGTTGGGAAACTATGCAAGAAAATTAGCTAGGGTTGTTCCTGGTCCATCATGGAGGATTACTCAACATGGAGGCAGTCATATCAAGGCAAATCCATTCCGCTGTCTGCAAGAAATAGTCACTTTGGCAATTATGTATAATGAGTTTCTTTTGGACTTGGTTAATGGGAGTCTTATTCAAAGTGATCTATCAATAAACTCTTGGGTCTGTGATTATTTTTTTTTCTTTCCGAGACAGGGTTTCTCTGTAGCTTTGGTGCCTGTTCTGGAACTAGCTCTTGTAGACCAGATTGGCCTCAAACTCACAGAGTTCTGGGATTAAAGGCGTGTGCCACCACTGCCTGGCTGGACCTGTGATTTTTAGGGATGAGCTCTCAGAGATGTGGCGATGAGGCTGAGGGGCTCTCCGAATGCAGCTGTCCAGTTGACTTTCCCCCCAAACAGCTCTCTTTGGAGACAATGTGCTATGCCAGAAAGGGTGTGAGCTTGGGAGCCAGTACACCCATCTTCAGAGCCTAGCTCTGTCTGTCTTAGCCAATGGGCACTGAGCTGTCGATCTAGCCTCCCTGAAACCTGCCTTACTCATTTGTAAAGTGGACACAATAAAGCATGATATCCTCTAGGCATCATGTAAGTTACAGGGTGTGACCTTCCTGCCTTGAGCATGGAATAGGGGTTCCCTCTTGTTCATCTGTAATGTCAAGGGAGGCAAGACAACACAACTCGGGGAGATCACAGTCCTTGTTTATAGGGACACAGAAATACTCTGGTCTTGTCTCCTGCTTTCTCCAGCACACACATTTGTGTCTGTTTAGAGTGGGGATTGATTAGCATAACCCAGGGGCAAATATGGCCCACTGCCCATATTTTTAAAATAAAGTTTTATTGACAGACAGCCACCTCCTTCCACTGATATATTATCTGTGGAAACTAAGCTGAGTAGCTGTGGAAGTCTACATGGCCTATGAAGCCTAAAGAGTGGCTGCCTGGCTTTATAGAAAAAGCTTAGTGGTCCCTGGTGAAGAGCATTAATTCCTACTCAGATGGGAGGAATTTCAGAGTGGGGAATTACAGAGTCATAAAGACAAGGAAACTACCAAGAGGTTAGAGAGGAGAAGATCTGGGACGAAATGATGCTTTTTAGGGAAAGGAAGGAGGGCAACTAAAGGAAGAATAAAGACTTCCACAGACCTGGCAAAAGCCCCCAAAGACAAGCCAGGAAGTATCAGGGAATCAATAAATTTGCTCCCTTTAATTTCTTTGCCTCTGTGGGGGATGCAAAGCCGTTTGCAGAGATTATGAGAAAATATGCCTTGACTAGCTGGCAAAAGGCCAGGTCTCAAGACGGTCCTTCTGAATGCTGGCTGGCGACAAGGCCTCGGTCCACTATTTGTCTTCCATGCCTCTGGGCTTTGACTTTAAGATCTGGAACTTGACGTTACTGGCAAATCTATCATCCTCTACGGCCAATTGGTCCCTAAGCCTTGCCTGCTCTTGCTCCTTAAATACACTTCCAGTCTGTTCCTTTCTTCTCGCCTCTACTGCCTTGATCCTAGTTCATACCTTACCATCTTACTAGGATTACTCTAACAATCTGTGCTCACCTGTACATCCACCCATCCAGCCATCCATCTGCCTACCTGCCTACCCATTTGCTCATCAGCCCACCCATCCTGCCATCTACATATTCATCCAACCCTACATTCATCACCTACCTGAACTGTATGTCTGACAAGGGCCATGTATTGGACTAAGCCCAGAGACACCATAGCTGAGCATGGCATGGGCCTTACCTCTAAGGCGTCACTAACTAAGGGCCTTTTATAACTGAATTCTGCTTTCAGCCTCACTCTACCCAGGCTTTCCTTCCTGTTAATCAGGATGATCACATCACACCTCTCAGTGTGTATATGTGTGTGTGTGTGTGTGTGTGTGTGTGTGTGTGTGTATGTACACATGAGGAGGTCAGGTGTGATCTTTCAAAAGCACACATATGATTCTGCTAGTCTCTCCATTAAAACCCTTTTAATAACTTCCTGTCATCTACAGAACAGGGTCTAAAGTCTTTAGTGAGGAATTTAATTCCTTTGTAAATTGATATCCATTTTTCCTTCTTTGCCTTTTTTCTCATCTATCTACATTTTAGTGAAAAAATGCTTGCTATTGTTCAAGCTTATCATGAGATTTCACGCTATCATAGGACAAGTAGCAGTAGGCTGTGCTGCAGTAATTAATAAACCCTGAAATTTCAAGGTTTGAATGCAATGATATTTTATATCCTGGTTTTACTGAGTCCGACGTGATGTTTCTGGTTGGGTACCCTTCCTGCGTCTCTCTCCTCTGTGTGATGATCTTAGGTCACTCTGGTCCATTTCATTGACTCGAGTGCCTTGTGTGATGCAGCCAGGATCTGTTCATCTGTGTGCCCAAAAGAACAGAAGTAGGGTTTGATGGACAGACACATGGTGTCCTTGTCCCTCACACCTTTGCACCTTTGTCTTGGCGGTTTTCTTTGCATAGACTCACTTTCCTCATCTTTTCTGGGCATGTGAACCCTCCCTCACTGTTTTAGCCTATGCCTGGGAAAGCAGTTTGTAGTCCATGCTCCCTCCTGTGCCGCCACAGCACTTTGTGTATTGCTAGCATCGGCCAGATTTTTCTAAGTGCCAGATGCAATCTAATCTCTTCACATGCACTGACTCTTTATGAGGCCAGAACTTTCCAACTCAAAGATG